GTTCTATCTTCACTATTTTGGTTTTTGTCTTTTTTCTTTTAGCTCTATTTTCTATCTTTGCTGTATTCTCTTTTTTGTTTTTAATTGTATTCTTAATATAATAAAGTTCTTATTAAAAAAAATAATACCCTGAACATAGTTTATTTTTTTCCAGTGGATTCCATTTGATATTACAAGCCCTTTGGGATCAAAGCAACTTGGCTGTTAGTGGAAAGGGAAGAATGCACAGTCTTTAGGATCTGGCTTAGTGATGTGAGGATGATTTCTGAAATGGTGGGAGGAGCAGATCAGTTCTGAGTCCCTGAGTATTGTGAGCGAATACTTTGCGGACATGGTAAACTCCACAGAGAGTTGGGGGGGAAAAGGCAAAAACTTCAAAAACTATGGAAAAAGTTGAGAGACTGAAGAAAATGCAGTGGGCATCAGCCCATCAGAGTTTGAAAAAAAAATGATCTCTTTGGATATCATCTGAGAAGGAAGAAGTAGTTGCAATGCTTCAACCTTCAAATGATGCTAAAAATTGGGCACTTTAACCTGAGTTTGTCAGGCTCAGAAAATCAGCTTATACATGGCTTAGAGACAGCATTATATAGATGACATGTAAATTCCAGTCATGCAGAGGCTCATGATCATTAGATAAAGTCTGGCTAATTCCTCCAAGAGAACTAGTTTGGTGTAGTGATTAATACACAAGGCTAGAAATTGGGAGACTGGGAGTTCTAGTCCCATGGTAGGCATGAAGCCAGCTGGGTGACTTTGGGCCAGTCACTCTGTCTGAGCCCTAGAAAGGAGGCAATGACAGAAAATCTTGCCAATAAATCTGCAGGGACTACTCTAGGCAGTTGCCTGGAGTCAACACTGACTCAAAGGAACCCCCCCAAAAAACACCCCTCATCAGTAGGACATTCTTTTCTATTCTTCAGAAAGTGAATACTAAAATACAAGATGGAAATAAACCCAATAGAAATGGGGGAAATTATTATTAGGGGCATTGGCATAATTATTTAATACAAGGTTCAATTTCTTTGATTTTATTCCTTCATTCCTTCATTGGATTTAGAAGGCTGTCCAACTTCATAAGACTTAATACTTCTCCTATCTTTCCAAGGCCTTACTCACATCACTGAGCTGAAGGGCATTCTGCTTAGCCTGGACCATGACAGGGGAATCCACAATGCTTGTAAATTTAATAGTGTCCGGGTGCTGGCGGTACTTCTTCTCATTCAGAGCCTCTCCTGCTTTTCTAACTTTCTCCGCATCGAGGGAGCCAATTGGGATCCACCCAATACCTTTCATCCAGCTGTTAAAATCAGCCTTGTAAAGATTCTGAAGAAAGAAAGAGAAAGAAAGAGAGAGAGAGAAAGAGAGAGAGAGAGAAAGAGAGAGAAGGAGAATTATCAGCTGATTAGTTTAAAAAACTGCTTTTTAAATTACATTCATCTGGACCCAAATGTATGGGCAGACTTACATCACTCTGAATCTGCATCATGTTTTTGGATCGCTCCACATTCATGTCATCTGGCAATAATGTGTAATGGTGCAGGAGATTCCTGTAATTGGTATTGCTGGCAATTTCCTGGGCTTTCTTCGCAGCTACAACATTAACCATATCAAGTGGAGTGTTGTACCTAGTCTTGCTTTGCTCATAAGCTTTCTTGTAGTCCCGCTCTGACTGCATCTTGGCCACATTCATATAATGGACCAATTTGGGATCATCTTGAACACTCTGGAAGCCAATCAGTTTGCCTTTGGCTTGTTCATAGTCTTTCTTGTATTCAAACTGTCAAAACAAGATCGAAAGGGAAATTAATTTCCTGATGAGCAACATATAACATACCAATACTATATAAGATCAGTATTGAAAAAAAAAAAAGACAAGAAAGGTCAAAATGAGTGGAAAACTGTCCACTTTTCAGACTGAATGTATGCCATTAGTAGTGCCAGAAGAACTGCCACAAGTGAGGGCATATAAAGCATGCTTTTGGAGTGCTGGTGGAAATCCCCAGGCATTTGCAGAATTGTACTAATTCTGTGCAAGCAGAATTCTGTAGATGCCATTGGCATTCCTTGATCAACTCTGTTCACAGTACATTGAATAACTGCACAACTGCAGAATTATTACTATTGCTGACAGTAGTGGTAGTAGTAAAAGTAATAATAACAATAATGAACTGGATCAAATAATACTTAAAACAATGTGAAAAGTTGGTCATGGTTAACTTATACCCCACTTGATTCACTGGGAATTAAATGGAGTCCAGCATCGTCCTATGTCCTTTCATTTGGCATTTACATCTCACTGTATATGGCAGGGTTTGGTTCAGGGTTAATTCATACAGTATAGGACAGTGTTCCTCAACCTTGGCAACTTTAAGATATGTGGACTTCAACTCCCAGAATTCCCCA